AGTAAACATTCGAAATATATCAATATCAGATAATCTTCATCTAGTTAACGTATTTTGACATAATATATATCATAATGAACAGGCCAAGAATTCGATAATTTTTTTATCGATTTATGCTGAAAAAACGCAATAATCTTTGCATGGAGTTGACGATATCATGGAGTTGAAAATATCAACAAAAACACGAGGTTTCTTCGAAAAATCGACATAAATTTTGTTTTGATCATCTAAATAATAAATATTATAGTACCTTCAAAAACTTCGAATGAAAATTGGTAGAGTTGTCTCGAAAATGAAAATTTCGTGTAAGGAAATTCATAAATATGGAAATCTAAAGTGATGGAGTTGATGTCCTAGGAGCTGGTATTCTATAGGAAATATTCGAATATCCACACTGCTTCAAACCTAACCTCAAATTATTTCTCATGCGTGCGAGACACTATTAGTTATACATATTGCTGGAATATTCAAAGAATCTGAATTCAGTCTATTTTTTATCAACGATATGAAATTGGTTGTTAATAAGAATACTAAGCTTGACTTTCAACTTTGTCTCCAGAATCCCAAATAACTTTCGTGAACATAACCTTTTCCCCAGCCCCAGACAATCTTCAACAAACTGCTCATGCTTGAAATTATGAAACCTCGAAACACCACTTCAGGCGTCATCTAGCGGTAGTTTTGACAAAAATAACAGGTGTCCATGGAGTTGAGTTTGAAGATGGTGTCACATATTAATTATGCATTCTACAATAAAATTTGATGAAACTTCCCAGATAGCACAGGACGTCCCCGGGATGTCCCGTTGAAGTCCATTTCAGGTCTGAACGTCCGGGACCTCCAGAGGACGTTCTGAGGACGTCCATCATGGGACGTTCCCAAAACGTACATAAATGGACGTCCCCAAAACGTCCATTTTAGGTCTGAAAAAAATATTCATAATCATTTCGATGAATCCGATTTCATAAATCAATACACGAAATATGATCTAAGTGCGGGGTGGAAAATAGAAAATCGCATGAAAAAAAGTCATTTAATTTTGCTTAAATAAATTTTTGTTTAACGCACTGACCTCATTTTCACGGGCACTTTGTATAAGTAATTGTTCCGTCAGTGCATAAGAGATAACGCAGGTCAAATCCGGTCACCAACTCCTATTTTCTTCTTTCAGAAGATTTGAATTCAATTCGAATTAACCGCCATTGCTGGAATCGTTCCGATTGGTCTAAAAATGCATCCGTACCGAAAGTCATGGCTGTCAGAATTCATACGATCTCATGGCCACCACTCGTGTAGCAGGTGTACTAGTGTACAGCGTTGCCAGACCTACTGTTTTAACAGTAGATCTACTGTTCTTGTCTGTTCTACTATTCTTTTGTTTTAGGCATGAAACATATTGTTTTGTTCATCGATCCAAAAAGAGAATTGAAAAATGACAATTTCACACAAGCGGTTGTAAAAATAGACAATCCACCAATTGTTCCCAACTTGACAAATTTTGTTCTTCATTATTCATTATTATATGTTGCCTCATTCTTCAGCAAACGTATATAAAGAGGATATTTTTTCAAGTAAATTTGCTGAAGTCAATGCAGCGTGATAAGTTAATTCATTCAGCAGTTGGTTTTCTCCATACGAAAACATATTTATCTACAAGGCAGAATCGTCATGTTTTGATATCACATATAACAAAGAATTAATGATATACTGAAGTTATCAGATTCAGATCGATTAGAGAAAATCTTTCATTTCTAATTTGATTTCTGTCAAACATTTCTTCTTCGTTTTTATATGAGTGTTCATGTTTTTTATTTTTCATCCATAAAAGCAAATTGTAATGATGATCAAAATCTACTGTTTAGTTTTGATGATCTACTGTTTTTTCCCCATCCATCTACTTCTCTGGCAAATTTTAATTTTCATCTGGCAACAGTGGTAGTGTAGCCTCACCCATTTTGTTTCTGTGGATGCTTATTTGTGTTATTATGGTGTTATTGTATGCATAATGTGAAGTTTAACGTTGTGGAATATTAGCAGTTTCTTATTTGTCAACATAGGTATCGAAAATTGTAATATGGGTAAGTTAATTATCGAGTACATTATTAATATCACCCATAGTGTAAGGACCTATATTTCATTGGATTCATATAAAACACATAAACAGTTTTCAGGGATAGTTATCACTGTCCCGTGAAAAACTCTTTCTAAAATTGATGAATAACTCATGATTTGATCACAACTTCCTCAAGCTCAATGTTACCTACTCACCAATAAACGTGCTCTCGAAAATTATAATGAAATTATTTCCCTAGTTATTCATGCTCTTTGAGCATTATATAGCATTTTCCTGTGTAAAAAACTCGTATATTTCGCGATATATCGTTTGGTTGAAAACACTGAAATCGATAGGAAAATTACTACAAATTTTTATGTTTTTTTTTTCAAGGAGCTGCACAAAAACCTGGCATATCGAAGGATCATGAATCCACTGAAGGATCATAAATCCACCGAAGCCTCCACATAGAGCTGACTGAAGATAACTGCTGAGAGGATGAGTGCCACATCAAATAAGAATTGAAATCGATAGGTGCAATTCTGAGAAAACCAAAGAAGAAAGTTCTTCAATCAATATTCATTGCCATGTAAACTTCTATCAATATATTATATAATGTATTATCGTATTATCTGAATCAGTAAATTTTATTTTTGACCAATAATGGCTTCAGACCTGAAACCGACCTGAATCGTACGTCCCTCAGACGTCCTCGAAATGTCCTCAACTGGTCCAGATTAGACCCGAAATGTACTAAATTCGTATGTCCTAGGGACTTCCGATTTTGTAACATCGTACGTCTTCAAAACGTCCTAAAGACGTCCGCCGTACTCAAAATGGACGTCCCCGGGACGTCTGAAATGTCCGAAGCGAACGGCTTCAGAACGTCCTCGGGACGTACTTCCCTAATAACACACTTATGGCCCATGGATATCATTAGGACATCCTGTCGGGAAATTCAGGACGTCCAATGGACGTCTGTAGGACGCACAAATGTCCCACTTGAGGACCAACTAGGGACGTCCTTGAGGGATGTCCCTGGGACAACTATCGAATACCTAAATCCTACAGTATTCCTCATCAAGCACTACAGAGGACATCCTCAGGACATCCATAGGACAACCTATCAGCAACGCTGAGGGATATCAATTGGATGTCTATAGGATGTCCCAGGGACATAACTGATTAGGACATCTAGTTGAGTTGATGGTCCATAGAAGGTCCCCAAAAAGTTTCCCAAGGATGTCCAATGGACTTACGTGAAGGACATTGACGAGGAGTACTTATAGCCTACGAGCAATCATTCGTCGGCGAGGTGTAAGTTAACGTCCTCGCAGGGACAACATATTGAAAGTACCGACTGGAACGTCCATAAAACGTTATTTCTAGGACATTGGAAGAGTACAGTTCATGTACCAATTGGGACATCCGACGGATATCCCTAAGGGACATTCGAAGGATGTCCATAAGGGACATTTCGATTGTTATACGATCCTGGAAATATTAAGGGCGTCTGTGCAGAGATATTTGAAGGAATGTACCATCAGGGACATTTCATGGTTGTCTAGAGGGGACATTATATGAGATCAGAAGTCATGCCAGAATATGTACTACTCGGGACATCCGATGGATGTCCCTAAAGGAACGTTTAAAGTCATATCCCATCAGGGACATGCCAAGGACGTCCTTGCAAGGACATTCTACAATATGTACCACTGGGGACGTCTAAGGGATGCTATTTCTAGGACATTTGAAATGATGTACCAGCTGGGACATTCCGTGGACGTCCTTGCTCTGACATTGTATGAGATGTACGGGACGGGACGTTCCAAGGACACTTATTTTTGGTTCGGGACATTCGGACGTGAATTGTACCAAATAGGGACGTCCCAAGGACGTTGTGTGCTATTAGGGTTGTGCTATCTTTGTTGTTCTTTGCTTACACTCTCGTACTCACTTGAGAACATATTTACTGAAAAATAGTTTCATTATAGTTTTTTGGGTGTTTACGATCGATATCACTTAACCATATGCAGCTAGTTACAGTCCATGGAGGTGATTTCAGAGGTGTTTTAGCTCTAAGAATTGAAGAATATATAATTTTTCTCGTTCTCTCCTCATGTCATGTGAAGCACAAGTCTCAAACTATCATCTTTCATGTTTTTAGAATTTTGATAATTTTCCTATCTAATTTTCACCAACTAGTTACATCATAATTGTCTCCGTTTTGAAGAATACGTCTTTCTACAACGTGTAGTCGCCAACTTCTCTTACATTGCTCTCAAACTACTTTCAGTCCGCTTATATCTCGCCGACACTCGATACAGAATTATTTTAGATACGGATATGAGTAGTTACTGATAAACTAATACAGGGAAATTCAATAATACTTTGACTTAATTTCATGTCGAATATCTATCAGCTGATATTTTTCTGCAATGGTAATTATCATCTGCATTTATCAAAACCTCATCTACCAAGATTTTCGTAGTAACAGTGACAACAACGATGTGATACTTTCCGGACTAGTCCGGAAAAATGCGAATGCGAATTCTCAATGTATTTCTTCGTAGGTATCCTTTTTTATGTTCATAACATATCTGAGAATATTTCTATTCAATAAATTCGAATTTGTTATTAAGTCTACAGACAATGTCCGAACGAGCGCTTTGAGCACGTCTGATCTTGGGAAACAACGTCACTTTGAAAGCGAATCACTAACGGCCTCAACCTAAATTCTTCCACAGTATTTTCCCATTTCAAAAAAACCAAAAAAAAAATATCTTGTGGAGCAGCAGCAAGCTTGGCACGATTTGATTTGTATGGATTTATGGAACCTGCTCACTAGACGTGAATGGAATGCATCAGTGATAAGTGTGTATTCAGATCTATGGATACATCTATCTACTGCATGTTTCTGTAAACTGATGGGTGTATGGGTACTTACTTTTAATGATAGCTCATTGGCACGAGTGTAAACCAAACCAACTTGTATGAGCAGATGCAATATAAATACAAGGAAATAAAGTATGTTCTTATTTGAGTGCATCACCTGAAATTCAGTAAGAAAATAATCATTATATAGAATCGAAAATATTTGCAAATGTGTAACTCACGTTTGATATCGACACTGATATATGATAAGATTTGACGATGAATTCTCCCAAGAAGTACCATTTCAAAGATTCATTGGCCTCTTCAACGTATCTAGAATTCAACGAAAAATCAACTGGTTTCACACAATTTTTTCACAATCCATTTCATCCTAAAATGAAATTCCTCTAACCTTACATGTTTTTGGACTTCATTAAGGTCTTCATGCAACAATGTTGATACAAAACATAATATTAAAAACATCTTAGATGAGAATAATAAAGATATATCTGAAGAATTGGATATAGCAAATGCATTTAATAATTTCTTTTCCAAAATTGACAAAAAGTTAGCAAGTAAAATAAAAATACCCAAATCTAATAATGTAAACTTCAATATAAATACCCCTGAAAATGCTGGGTCATTCTTTTTATCTCCTATCAAAAGAGCTGAAATGTTCGAAGTAGTAGTTAACTCCCTCAACAATAATTTTATCATAGGGCGCATACCAGGAAAATAATTTCCATTATACAGGGTGTCCCCAATAAAGCGTAACGTCATAATGATATATTTTTCAAATGGCATGTCATATATTTTGTTGCACATTTGAGTGCTTCTAGTAGTTACCTACATACTCCTGAAATTCAATTGGAATCGGTTCGGTAATATCGACGTAAAAAAATTCGATTTTACACTACTAGTCAAAAACATGAATCATAAGAGGATCGCTAACCGAGTTTGATTGACACGAATCATCACAGGGTGTGCAAAATTTAGTGGCAAACTTTTCACAATTTCTAAGCACTATATTTTTCTTTTTTCGAATTGGAGACCCTGTATATTTTCATATCATTCGATACGTGAATGAAAAACAATATATTTCTCTCATTAAAATAAAACCCTATCGGAATTCTAATCGTATCAAAAGTCATTCGCCGAAAACTCGTTTCATCAACTATTCTGATCATTTGAATGAATTAAAAACGTAGGTGGCATTGAGAAGTAAATTATTGACATTTAGCTCTAATAAAGTGTCAGGAGTCTATTTGGGCTTGAGTAGTTCAAATTCAATACAGTTTTCGAGCTTTTTATAACTTAATATTGTATTTTCTCATGGAGTACAACCAAGGAGAGCTCGTAGATATGATTTTAATATTGAGAGAAAGTAAGAAAAACTTTTGGCAAGCCGAATTTATGCACAACGTTATCCGAAACGACGTCATCCAGACAAAAGGAGCCTGCAGAACTCATTGGATAGGTTTGTAGGAACCGAAAATGTTAAATATACAAAATCAGTTAGACAGACCGGTTCGAAATGAAGAAAATCAATTGGATGTGCTGTTGTTTGTTACGAAAAATCTATCCATTAGCCAGCAAGCAATCCCAGATGCCCTGGACGTGAACAAAAGAACTGTTCAACGAATTTTAAGAGACAACCGTTTCCATGCCTATCATATTCAGTTTCATCAAGAACTCTTTGAACAAGATTTTGAAAAACGTGTCGAATTCTGCTACTGGGCGCGGGGTAAAAATGAATTGAATTTCGACTTTGTTGATAAGGTTTTGTTTTCTGATGAGGCCACCTTCCATAAAAATGAATTTGTGAATTGTCACAACCACTATTATTATGAAACGGCCTTTGTTTCTGCGGCCCTTACTTTGGCGCTCTGTTCAGGACGGAGACTACTCTGGTTTTTGACGGGGTGTCTCGGGCGCCAGATTGTTTTTGAGGTAGTTTACTCTACCTGCTCTGCACAAAATATTTTTTTACAGAGGCACATAGTAGCAACAGTGGAGAAAGGTACAGGAGGTATACCTACCTCGGTACCTACAGTATGAACCAGGGGTCAATGTTATTGAATCTACCTGGAATCAATAAGGAGCCAAGGGAGTGTAGGCTTCAATTACAAACCCTGGGTTTAGCCTGGAATACTGGTTGCTATTTTTAGTCGAAATAATCACAGGAATCAAAGCAAAATATCTCTCGGATCTCTGATAATTTTAGGTTATGTCTGGAAAATTATTTATTCCCCCTATTTCATTAAGTCTACCTGGAGAATCGGAAACACAGTTCCAAACGAATTAAACAGATTCAATTCATATTTATCTTTCTTTTTCCTTCGATTTTCTTATTTTCTAATATCTGAATTTTAGTGAGGTTGATTATATTTTTCCATTAATTCATGTCAAAATTTCATGAAATATAGACCACCGCCCGACGGGACACAAAGCACAGGGACACGGATGCACAGGACAGGATTTCTGAAGGAAAAGAAGAAGAAGAATTGACAACTGACTTGTCAGTGTGAGCCGTCACCGTCAGCTGTCAGTCAATGATAATAATGAGCAATTTGACAAATGGAAATATTGAAAATCATTAAATAAATTACTGGAACTATTCGGAACTGAAAAGAATGACAACAAAGAAAGAAATATGAAATATGCAATCACAGGTCGGGTGAGTATCGGTATGAAAAACAACAGGAATGAAATGAATCTATACCCAGATAGCACACACTCGCCTAAGGTCATCCTCAATGTGTCGCCAAACGCCTGGAGAGGACGTTCTATTTTCTACAACCTAAGAACATCATCAGGCGTAAATTTAGCGCTGTAATTTTCCTAAATGCGTTCTTTCAGTGACAGCCTGGGGATGTAAAGAATTTCGTGCCTACGGACGTCTTCAGATGACATTCCATGAAATAACGTGTCATCGAAGACAAAAGGAAGAAAAAGAAGAACTAGAATTGAGGTTATGTCTCATGATAGTCATGATTTGTTCAAGATACATCATATGGATACATCATAATATATTAATGAATACCTTCATCAAATTTCTATTTCACAAAATGATTGCGGGAAGAACTTATTGCACAGAATTAAAAGATAACAATAACAAAAGGATGATAATCTCTGTTGATGACATTTCTCTCAGGTAGCAAGAAACAATGGTGAGTAAATACTAAATAGAATCATTGATAGTACCGGACATGAAATATTGATCCATTCATATTATACATTATTTATTGTTTCAGGAGGTTATTGAGAACACAAACTTGATGATATCATCATAGCAAACATGTTTTATTCCAAGATAGCTTTGCTTCTTCGGAATCTATAAAATATTGTATGGAAGCTTGAACTTTCAGTATGAATTCAATAAAGGTAGGTACCTGAATCAAATCATTGATATAGTAGGTACTGGACATGAAATGTTAATAGGTTAATTATTTGTTTCAGATGAAGTTATTGAGAACACAAGATTGATGATGTCATCAGAGCAGAGATGTTTCATTCCAAGATATTTTGGCTTCTTCGAAATCTATGTGAGATTGCATATGCATGTTTGCAGTTTCAGTATATTCAATGAAGGTAGGTACCTACCTAAATCAAATCATTGATATAGTAGAGACTGGAACATGAAATATTAATAGGTACATTATTTGTTTCAGGAGGTTATTGATAACACAAAATGATGATATCATCAGAGCAGAGATATTTTATTCCAAGATATTTTGGCTTCTCTGGAAATTATGAAAGATTGTACATATGCAGACTTGAACTTTCAGTAGATTCAATAATGGTTGGTACCTATAACTACATAAATCATATCATTGATAGTAAGTACTGGACATGAAATATCAATACATTGTTTGTTTCAGAAGGTTATGCAAAACACAAACCTGATGATATTTTCATTCCAAGATAGTTTTGCGTCTTCAGAATCTATAAAATATTGCATGAAGGCTTCAACTTCCAGTTGATTATTCTGCATCAGGAATGTCCAGAGTTCAGAAATCAAAAACAACATGGAGAAATATAACTATCAATAGGCAATAACTTCTAGTAGTGCTCAACAAGAAGCTGAAATACATTTCTTTGGAAAGGAAATTGAAATTTTTCAGAATAAGTTATAAATAATAGAATGTAAGTTTTTCATTTGGTTTTTCTTTTGAACCTATTATAAATAGAGGGAAATTTTGCAAATATCATGAGATCCATATTATTTTGAAGAAATTATCATTTGCATAATACAAGGTGAGTCAATAGTGTGTTATCCTTGTATAATAGCCAAACCATCAGATAAATAGAGAAAATTCAAGTACAACAGTAATAGGGTTTCATGAGAACTTTCACATTAAATTGTTTTCATATATATCTGTAGGGTGTTCGAATTCCAAGATATATTGACTGATGATTGTTTTTTTCCAAATGGGACACCCTGTATACTATTGCATTTTTAGGTTCTCCCTGAAGAGCTGATTCCATCAATGCATCACACTTGGGGTCTAGCGGGAATGATTACAGAGATATAGGGTGTTCAAAAACAAGATTTTTCAATTTTAGGATTTTTTTTGTGGAAACTATTCAATATTGGTCAAAACGGCTCACATATCCTTATAAACTTTCGATTTACTATCTACTGACATTCAATCGGAACAAATATATTGCCAGTTTGAACTGGCAATTAGCCATAATTGCCAGTTTGAACTGGCATTTAGCCATAATTGCCAGTTTGAACTGGCATTTAGTGCTTTCGTACGAAAGTACCCCGCAAATGTAATGTCACAGTTCAAGCAATGACAGCTCTGTCTAATAGATGCGCATTACTTGAGAGGAAATCAGATGGCTACAAGACGAAGAAATCAAAGATGTCGCTGTTATCTGTCACAGCCGCAAAAAAATTATGGTGTATAACTCGCAGGGAATGCTAATCTCCCACTCGAATGATTGCAGCATTATTCGCCTACGGCTCAGGCTGCAAATTTCATTCTCGGGGAAAATCACTATCATTCCGTCCTTGTTGAACAATATTCTATAGGGCTCTAACGACACAGTGGAGTAATTGAATGGCAATAAGCCATTATCAGTCCACTCGCCCTTTGCGTTGGTCGAAATAATCGTTCGCGTTTTTTGGCGTCACTAGATGGCGATAACATGACTAGATCCTTTCGTACGGAAGCGCTAAATGCCAGTTCAAACTGTCAATTATGGCTAATTTGCCAGTTCAAACTGGCAATTATAGCTAAATGCCAGTTCAAACTGGCAATTATGGCTAATTTGCCAGTTCAAACTGGCAATTATAGCTAATTGCCAGTTCAAACTGGCAATTATAGCCAAATGCCAGTTCGAACTGGCAATTATAGCTGAATGCCAGTTCAAACTGGCAATTATGGCTAATTGCCAGATCAAACTGGCAATTATGGCTAATTGCCAGTTCAAACTGGTAATTATAGCTAAATGCCAGTTCCAACTAGCAATTATAGCTAAATGTCAGTTCAAACTGGCAATTATAGCTAATCGCCAGTTCAAACTGCGGCAATTATAAAAAAAAAGGTATCATGTCCGTTCAGCGCTTTCGTAGCAATGTAATGCATAATATCTGAGATGTAACAATATTTTTGAATCGCTTTTACTCGATAATGATACATCTGATCGATGCGGAACAGTAGCAGCTTTTTTTCGTGAAATGATATGGATTTTCATAATCCGAGATTAAATAATCGAAAAATATGCATAAAAAATTTTTGAGCAATATTTAATGTAGTCCCACCCTGTATTATACACTCCTGAGTGAAATTTTGAAATTATTTCATTTTCACTGCATTGGGCATGGAAAGTTTAGTTCTTGTAGCAAATTGCATCTTTTTATCACATGGAGTTTCGGAAATACTCAAGAAATACCATCTTCAGGAGCCCCTTTTCAGGGGGCCGTATCTCCCTTAGGAGACATTTCTCGTCTCATGTTCATTGGAAATTAGTGTTGCGTAGTTTATATGAAGAAAAAAGGTTATTTCAAGGAAGTATAATGGAATATAATATTGGGTATTTTCCGCCGCTGTGTGGCCGCTTAAATTTTTTTTCGTTGTCTCATCTGACTTTACTAGGACTATACTATCGATCATGAATTACTCACTTTATCAGATCCTTATGTTCCATAACAATATTTCGCAGACCATGGAATGATGATTCACTGCTTCCATCACTGTACATCTTCAAATGCCTCAACTTGTATCCCAAGATGGCAGCTCTTGCAATAGCGAAATTCACCATCGAATATAACAGGGAATCAAAGGACAAGACAAACATGGGATCCAAAATACCCATCAAGACTTGGAAAAAATACGCAGCGTTGAAGTAAGTTGGAATCCCCAAATCGAAAGGGAACCAACCACTGAAGATTAGCAACTTGCTTTCCGTCGAATTCCCGACATTAATCAGCTTCCACTCGTTGATAGCTCCGAACATATACAAGCCGCCATTAGCACAAACCAAGATAAACGTTAAAAAAAATATCTTGTGGTTGTATCGTGAATTTCGGTTGTATATTCGCGTACACTCCATGCCATCCTTGGCGATGTCGTACTCAAACTGGTACACATCTCTGATTTTATCCCGAATTCCTCTGGTGTAGGATAACAGCAATTTCAATAGTACGAGAATGTTCAAGAGGTACGTTTGCATGGTGATATTCAGGCGGTCCAGTGATACTTCATCTCTGTCACCCATCAGTACATCTTTCATTATGCCAACACTGCACGAGAAGATGAACACGAAGAGGCAGGCTTGTGAAAGAAAAGACCAAATCTTGTATAATAAGGATGTTTTTTTTTCGTTCCGTATATCATATGTTCCAGCTACTAGCAAAGAGTACCTCGTATACTTGAAAATGCTATCACAGTTGCGCATTTTGTGCGTTCCTTTTTGGTGATCATCAACCACTGACATCACTGGATATCTATAACGATTTTCACAATATCAATAACTAGTCTAAGATCCAAAGTAAGGTCGACCTTCACTCATCTGCTTCTGATGAAAATTATATTTTATCAAGAAATAGTTATTTAACCAACTAGTGTATTAATGAGGACGATTAATGATCGAGATATTTTAACGTGCGAGCGAAGCGAGTGCGTTAATGTTCGAGATCATTAATCGCCTTTTAATATACAAGTTGGTTACAAAATTTTTCCGTCGACTATGTTTCTTATTTCTCCTGCAATGAAGAAAACTTGGTTCGCGAATTCATCATTCATCTGGAAACTGCTAAGAATCACCCAGTAGCCTTGTCACTGATATTAGTGACATTTGACATTTGCCGAAATGATCAACATAGAAAATAAATTCCTTGTGTTAGAAAACAGGGATTAAAATCGTGTCAGAAACTTGGAAAGGCGAACCCGTTAACAGAAAATCTTCGATGAAATCCATATTTTCGATTTAAATGCAGATTCCGTAAGTTATAGGATAAACAATGAATGCACGCGGTGTATGTTTGGTTGCCTATAAAACAATCGTGTATTAATAGACAAATCGTTCATTAATAGGGGTCATTAATGAACGATTTCATATACATAAATATGTTTCTGAACATGTAATAGGGTTGCCATAAAAAATATGTTCGTGATAAATAAACACCATGAAGAATGATTTAATTTTGAAATTTCACCAACCTGCTTGCCAATTGAGCGAGATTCCAATGGAAAAGATATAACATTGAGAATATAGAACAGCTAGGCTGCCTATATTTTTCTGGTCGCTATTACCAGGTTGCCGTTTACAAACAGGCAAGTTGATATTAATGAATGTAAAAACTTCAGAAACGATAATTGATATTGATATTGATATTGATAATTGCAAAATGAAGGTATAGGGTTACCTTGCAAAATCTGTTCATGATTAACGGTTACCAGGCATTATAAGATTGAAAAGTCGAAGCAAGTTGAGGGTACTATATGATGCGATAGAGGAGGGCGCAGTATATATACTAGCTGTGCATGACAGAGCCGAAGAATGTGAGAGAGTGCGCATGCTTTCTACTTATTATAGTATAGAAATTTATGAAACGAAATGTTTTCGAGGAAAAATGTTTGAGAACTATTATTCAAAAGTAGTACTTATACCAAATGTCTAAAAACTTTAAATAAATCAATATACAGCCAAGAAAAACGTCCCCAAACGTTATCAGAAATGAATCAAATCATTGCCCGAAAATAACATTCATCAACACATGTTCTGTATGAAAATTCAAAATCATCATTATTGAACAATATACAGTGTCATTCATAAAGTCGGCATCATATGGGAAAAACTTTTATTAATGACTTATTTTGGAATTTGAGCTGGACGTTGAGTTTTGATGCAAAAAAGATGAAAAATGGCCTACTCAATCGGAGTCACGTGCCTTTCGCTACATGTCAAAAGTGACATTTTTTCAAATTAATCGCTGAATATCGAAAAAGTTTACTTGAAAAAGTTGTTTCTATTTCAATTTTACATATGTGACTCGGATTTTAACTTTCTATTACATCTTTTAGATTTCGATATTTTTTAAAAATTTTCGAAATTTCTGTAATATTAAAAAAAGTGTAAATTAGATGAAACTACTTCATATCAGTAGTTTTATCATGCGAACTTTCAATTACTAATTATCACTAATTATCGACAAAAATATGATTTTCTTCAGAAAATGATAATCTCCGCTTCAAAATTTTGTTATGTTTGATGCAAACATAACATCGAAATTCTGTTATGTTTGAGTCAAGCATTTAGACACGAAATTCATTTAAATTTATTTTTCAGTACTGAAAAGATCAGTTTAAATGAATTTCGTTTCTAAAAGGTTGACGATGTATCAACTTTGCATCAAACATAACAGAATTTGGAAGCGGGTATTATCATTTTCTGAAGAAAATCATATTTCTGTCCATAATCAGTGAAAATGAGTAATTGAAAGTAAGTAGCATGAAAACGCTACTGATATGAAGTAGTTTCGTGGGATTAACAATGCTTCAAATATTACAAAAATTTCGAAAAATAAAAAAAAAATCAAAATAAAAAACTTGCAATAGAAAGATCAAATTCGAAAAGCATGTGTAAAACTGAATTCGAAACAACTTTTTCAAGTAAACTTTTTCGATATTCGAACAAATAAGCCTACTTTCAGCGATTAATTTGATAAAATGTCACTTTTGACATGTAGCGAAAGTCACGTGACCCCGATTGAGTAGGCTATTTTTCATCTTTTTGGAAGCAATACTTAACGTCTAACTCGAATTCCAAAATGAGTCATTAATAAAAGTTTTTCCCATATGATGTCGACTTCATGAATGACACTGTATACATGGAAAAAAATGTCACCATACAATATGCCTGAGAAAGTTGGCAACAAATGAAAAACTGTCTTATATTTGATCTTAAGAAGAATGACATCCCTCATGGAAAAATCTGCAGGTCCCAAGACCAAGAATGCCAATATCTGATATCGATTTTTTTTAGTCGTATACGAGATATATTGATTTCACCCAGAGAGGAAACTATCTTTATTTCGTATGTATGTATATATAGCTGTAGGTAAAGTATAGTACGTAATGCTTGGTCTAAAGCAATAACGTATTTGCTGCTATATTGCTGTGTGCCTAATTTTCCATGCGTAATATGTTTCTCACAACACTCATCACGTAATATACTATTTTTGATTCCCTATTTGTACAAGAATTGTTTTTTTTTGTTCATTATAAATAATCATGTGTGCTTCCAATAATTGGAATATAAATATGCCCTTTACGCTCATTGTTGTTCACGATTCAACTCGTTATATATCATTGCTTCCTACAGGTTATCTGATTATTATAGTTTATCAGTTGATCGAAGTGCGATCATAGTCATAATATAGTAGTGAACTGTTTCAAGTTTTGATTTCCTCTGCTTGTTATAGACTTGTTTTTCGTCTGTTCTGGACCTTATGCTGAAGTAAAATGCCGCTTATGAGCACTGTAGTATCCTTGGCACATAGGGTCTCGACTTGACAGGGATAAAGCGGGGTTGTCGGTCTCTTGAATTTTAACAACGTTTTGACCAGTGAAAATGACGTATCCAGATGAGAGAGGAATGGTTATTTGCAATCAAACGAGAAGATCTTACTGATTCAAAGATATAGCAGTGAATAACCATAATTCACTGGTCTCTAGAGTTCCTAGGGTACACGATATACCATATAAGGGACTTAAGACCAGTCAATAACAGTTATTCACAGCTATTATTCACTCTACAAGTACAACAATCGTGAACAAATATTTGATAAAACGAGTATCTCCAATTTTCAGTTTTCTCAATGTCAGATGAGTTATGATAAAACAGTTGTTAGAAATAAAGCTTTATATCAAAAACAATAGTAGTCGTGGACGAAGTAAAGTATTCTACTCGCATGCAATGGCTATCGTTATGTTTGAGGAAGTATAACAGTCGTGGACAAATAATTAATATGACAGGTATCTCCAATTTTTATTTTTCTTGATGTCAAATGAGTTATGATAAAACAGTTGTTGAAAATAAATTTATATATCAAAAACAGTAGTAGTCATGGACAAAGCAAAGTATTCTACTCGCATATAATGAGCTAATATATGCTTGTAGAATAAAATACTATCAGTTATCATAGTCATGAACATATTTTTTATGGCAACTCTATGGGTACATATTCATTAAAATATTTCATTTGATAAAATATAATTTTCATCTGGCGAGTGGAGGATCCTCTACTCAACGTTCAGTTCTCCAGATTTGTTAGGATATTTTTCATTTGTTCCTATAAATATACAATATGAGTGACTATTATTTCAATAGTGAAACATGAACTGGAAGATGATGAAACTCTCAATGAGTATCGAAGTACAATTAGAAAAATATATGACCAAGGCCGTCTGAAACTATGCTGGAGTCTTTGGGCATCAAGATGCTGCCAGGATCACAACCAAGAATCACACATTTTTAGGAAAAAATTATCAGCCAAGCCGCATTCGTACCGACCACCGACTTATGGACTCATCTAGACCGCCAATTCTATGAGGAAAAACATGAGCCACTCAGAGATCAAGGAATATAGGCGTATCGAAGGTAAAATGTTGGGATTGGTTTACAATGAAAGGTTATCAAACCATACATAGAGTAGTGAGAAATGAATAGAATAATAATATGCATTATTCGGGTCTCATACCTTTCAATCATCGGATTTGAGAACCCTGTTCAAAAAACGGCGAACTTGCCTATGGAAA